AGTGTCTCTGCACCAGTCCGTCCTCAGTGTCTCTGCACCAGTCCGTCCTCAGTGTCTCTGCTTCATGGTGCAGCTGGACGTGTTTTAACCGACACCAAGGGCAGGACCAAAATCTCCAGTTAAACTTAGGACTGAGTTTAAAATATAATAACTCTTAAAGCTCAGCACGGATGCCCTTTAAAATGTAACCTAACATCTTCCAACACTAGTTCATACAAGCTTTTACCTTTTTTGAATCACTCTTTCAAACATTTCTTTCCTTTTAATTTCACTTTGCAACCTAGTTCAGAAAAGGTCATTATAGTTCTTATTCAAATTTTATAATATGGATTAGTGTAAGTAAGGGTTTGATAAACTGGACAATGAGATTCACAGTGAATTATAGCTCCTCAAACAAACCTCAGCCTTTAATTCAACTTAATATTGTTATTTATTCCATCTGATCTCTTCCTCTGCAGACGCTCGGCACCAAAATGTGCACAATACAGAAAAAATTGGATGGGGCCATGGACACCATCATCGAGGTGTTTCAGAGCTACGCAGGGAAAGGTGGTGACAGGTTCAAGCTGAATTTCGTGGAGCTGAAGAATCTGATACAAACAGAGATGAACATTAAGGTAACTGACCGTCAGCCTGACTCACGGAGAACTCAAATATCTGAGTGGATTCAAGAATATGCTCTTTTTCTTTACGTTTGTCCTTCAGGACAGCTGGGACCTGACCAAGGTGTTGGCCATCATGGACGACCTGGACAAGAACAAAGATGGCAACGTGAGCTTTGAGGAGTTTATGTGCTTGATAACTAAGATAGCTTTGTACAAAAACGCCATCTTTAAAAACTACACTCCTATGGATTTCCAATGTGGTCAAATCGGTGTTTGCGGTGTGGGGAAAATGTGAATGTCAGCCAATCACGGCTCAGAGCCTCACATCTGAATATCTGTGATTTTAGTTCAAACTATTGTCACAAGAGGAAATGTCAATAAATGACTCTGAATACTAAAGATAATGATTCGTGTTTTTCTTTTTATAGCAACACTATCCTGATACATGCGCCAGACCAATCAGGTGTCAGTCTCCGCCCGTTTTTATATCATCAAAGAACATTCAAACCAAATAGACCAGAAACTTGAACAAATGTCTGTGAGATAAAAACGACATGGAGGAGGGGTTTGTGAACTATACTGCAGCCAGCCACCAGGGGGCACAAAAGCAACAATAGGAGCTGAATGAGTAAATAAATCAACAGATGCATGAACGTGAATATTTATTAGATATGTCAGAACCAGTGGTAGAAACTACATTTACAACTTTCACTGTACTTAAGTATAATTTTACACTCCTTCCTTTTGTGTTAATTAAACCCTTTCAAAGTAAAATATTCTACTTCTAATTACTCCACTACATGTATTTGACAGATACATGGTAGTAACATGTCTCAAGAACAAGTAAAACACGTACTCATTAAACCACAAAAGGTATTGTATATAAAATGATCCTGTAGATAAAATAAATGTTATTAGTCCCGTGTGAGTGTATCAGAAATGATGACGCTCGATATGAAGCGTTTATTCACATTTGTAAACATCAACAGCTTCATCAACACAAACTGGAAAAAATAAAACCATGAAAGATTTTGGTCTGTTTTCATTTCACACGGTTTTCATGCTGCTGTGCCTGAAGTTAAAAGCACAGGTTTTGTTTATTGCTTTGTGGTCCTCGTACGATAAAGCACAGAACATGATTCTCCAGTCGGGCGTTAAAGGACGACAGCAATAGAATAAAAAAGAAAATACAATCATAAAAAAAAAACAAGCAAAAAGACACATTTCTGTAGAGGCACAAACTAAACCATGCCACAAAAATCTAAACACACAACTGCTTCTGTTCTGTTGTGAAGACAAACGTGATGTGAATGAAACCACATGTTTGGACGAGCTCAGAGCTGCTGCATGGACTCAACACAATCCACGTGCAGGAATGCGGTGAAGCTGAACATCTGAAGAGCTCCACCGCAGCGTGGACACGGAGTCATAACGGTTAAAATATGTCGGCAGCTCAGACAGTGGCACCCAAAAAGAGACACTATTTAAAATGTGTTTTATAAAATAAAAACATAACGGAGAACGCGACTGTTTTCATCTTTCATTTTCACGTGTGACCTTTTCCACCACAGAGGGAAAACTGTAGTTTGACCGGGGACTCTCTCTTTCTCTCGTCCCTATTCCCGGTGCTTCAGAGCCACCAGCACAAAGTTCCTTGGAGAGAAGTTCGGATCGAACAGAGCGACCAGCTGACTGTCCACACCTGCACAGAGGAGAGGCTTCAGTTACAGCGGGCGGTGAAGCACTTACACACCAAGCAACGTGTCGCCTGGCTCACCGTTCTCCTGCAGGTAGATCATCCTGTCCAGCAGCACCAGCGTCTCCACCACAGGAGCCAGCAGCAGCGCCAAGCTGGAGTACACCACCACCCTGCCCTGCTGCTTCAGCATGGCCTCCACCCGCTCCGGGTCCAGGGGTAACTCGGGCGGCAGGCTGACTCGAGCCAGACCCAGCCGGGCGTATCTGAGAGAACATGGAGGGACACAAAGGAAACAGAGGCCTCGAGCGTTACACAGGTTTGTATTTGACAGAGAAGCAGATTAGTGAGTAGGAATTTAATCTACTGTTATTTTTAATTCATTCAACGTGCAGTTTCAAATATCTCCTATATTATATTGTATATTATAAATGTGTATATTATTATTTCCTTGTGTTCATATAGTTTGTTTGCTTTTCAAATATTTCCGTGATGTTTGTATAAATTATATAAAATAAATTGTATAATATCATATTTGGGAGAAATGACTGGGATCAGTAAATAAGTTATTAAAACCAAAGTTTTCAGAAACATGAGCAATGTGATAAAAACTGCCTAAAATGACAGAAACATTTATTTGACGTCTCCTTAGATTTTTGTATTTTGGTCCCTGTGCCATCTGCTAACATGGAGGAGGCAGGGTTATGACCTATACTGCAGCCGGCCACCAGGGGGTGAATGGGATGTTTTGGCTTCACATTCAGGAGCGGTCAAGTCGTCCATCTTTGCTCAGTTTGTGTTACTCACTCTGTGAATGGTAATAAGTGAGCTTTCTTTATAGTTTGGATTCCAGCTCGACGTAGATCCGGCCTCTTGTCCCTGATGAACGTCTCCAGCGTCGCCCGGTAACAGTGAATCCTCAGCTGCTCGCTCTCCTCCCTGAGCCTCTGTACGTAGTCCTCCACAGCGTGACACGCCCCCTCTCGCGCCCTATAGGACAGCTGATGTCCCGACAACCCCCGCACCCAGGAGCTCATAGGATAGCTGAACTCTGAGGGCACTGATTCCTGACCCGGCGTCGGCGGAGTGGGAGGTTCGACCGGTCCTGAAGGGGTGGGGTTCTCTTCAGTTGTGATTTTCATGTAGCAACACGCCACGGAGGTGATGCCACGAACATACGGGCAGCTGACAAAGTGGCGGAGGAGGGTGGCGCTGAGGTCACCGCAGGCATGGAGACCGGTCAGGATGAAGTCTGGATCATCTCGCAGGCTGTTTTCGTGAGGATGACGCTCCTCCTGACAGACAGGCTGGGGGCGGGAGCAGCAGTTTTCAGGACCGAGCTGCTCTCCAGACTCATTCTTGCTTGGCTGGTGTTCTGATGACGACTCCAAGTCCTGAGAGCGAGGACAGTCCGTGGAGTCACTGGAACTCCCCTGATGTTGCTCAGATCCCCACGATCGCTTTGTGCCGGGTCCAGATGGAGTTGGATGACCTTCGCTGGAACACTCTGCTGTACTCAGTTGCTTAAAGAAAACCTCCCATAAAGCCTTGGGGTTTACCCATCCGGCCACGTGGCGGGGAGGGGACAGTGACGCTGGAAGCTGAGACGAGACGTTCTAGGAAGAAGAAAGATGTGAATTACTTATGTTACAGGTTTTCTGTAGCAGGAGACTGAACATTTCCACTTCAAGCTGTTAAAGGTGTTACGTTTACATGGACACCAGGGGGCGATGGAGAAGATTTGGCTTCACTTGTGGAAGCTGTCATGTCGTCCATCTTTATTTACTGTCCCTAAATTTTACAGGCACGTTATGGAGATTCACTGGCCACATGCTCTCGCCGAATGTGGTGGAGAACCATGTTCGTCAGAGGCTAAATCAACGCTAGCATGTTTTCTTAAAAAAACTCTGCGACAGATACGTCGGCTGTCCACACTACTGCAGAGTGTTAGAGCCGCTAACACTCAGAGGGTGGGAACGCTGCTTGTCCCGCTTTAGTTTGAATCTCTGAGGCTGTGAAACAGTTATGATGGACTGAGCGTGGTAATAACTGCAGCAGCGCTCCAACCTTTTTCTGCTTCTCCTTCTCCAACACAGAGAGCAGCTGTTCATCAAACTTGGACGCCATGGCGACCAGGGCAGGATCGGCCTCGATGGCGGTCACGGACAGCCCGAGCCCGAAGGAGAGGAAACGAGTGAGATGACCCTGTTCAGAGCAGAGACAATAATTCATCACACCGTCAGAGGAGTGATCTACGAGTGACTACAATTTAGTGCAGCTTGATTTCAGGGACTTTTCAGACTTGGACTTGCGGCTTTGACTTAATTGTTAAGATTTTAAAAAACAGTATTTTAGCTGCTTATTGGCAAAAAAACAAGATCTCTCACGACCGTGTTTCTACTGTCGTTACCATGGAGAAACAATGAAACTTTAAAAAACAAGAACCACCGTCAAATATCCAAATGGCTCTTTTAATCTTGAAAATGTGTTTGAAACGGTGCGTTCTGATTTTAAAATGTCTCTAAATTTTGTGTCTGCGTTGTTTTCAATGTTCTCGTACGTCGCTGTGTATGAAATGTGCTTTATAAATAAAACTGCCTTGCCTTGGTTGAAATAATACCTGTCCAGAGCCCACATCCACCACCCTGCTGCAGTCAGTCAGCTCACACAGTTGTTTCACCAGCTGGGGATTGAAGAGCAACAATCAACAGAGGATCAAGTTTTAATTTGAGTTTAAAACGCAGGAAGCAGGTTGTGTACCATGCCCAGCCTGTGGATCTCATACTGCTTCTTGGGTTTGACGTGCTTTCTGAAGATGTGGTCCAGCAGCGAGCTCTGACTCTGGTTTTGCTGGCGCTCCTCGGGTTTGACCGAGCCGGCTCGCCTGCCTCGCTCCTGCCTGCACTCTCTGGGAAACGCCAGAGCGTGAGCGGTGGCACGGAAAGCCAACAGTGACAGAGGCCACGCGGTAGGATAACTGTAACGACAAGAGTCTGTGGTTATTATTAATAATGCTGACATTATTCTACTGTCACTTACTGACAACAAATGAAACGAGGGATCGGAATACACACTTACTTCAATATTTAGACTGTGAGAGATCAAATCGCTGAGTTATTATCATACAGCTGACCCAGAACTGACACTACTGCAGAGTTCTGGTATTACATATGAACCTGTAGCTGCTCCGTGCTTCTGTCTCTGATGTTTCCTGCATTACTTTGACCAAACGGTGTCCAGCGTTACCTCCTGTCTCCGTGTGTCACGTCCAGTAAAAGGTCAGCGACCTGTGGATACGACAGGTCCTGCAGCACGGCCTGCCAGCTGCTGGGTAATGAGTGCCAGAGGTCCTCGGTGAAGAACTTCTGAGGGACAACAACACGTGATGTTACCAGAAACTCTCAACGACTGGACATGAACGCAGCTTTGCATCCACGTACTCTCGTTCATTTAGACGTTTGCGGGTTCTGAGGCAAAAAAAAAAAAAAAAAGACAGTGTTTACTACAAGTTTATTACTAAGTTTAATGCCCCTTGTTTTTTCCCTTCAGTTGAAGCACCACGCTGTTTTCAGACTCGTCCTGTGGAGGATCTCTGCAGAACTTTCTCCGTAGTTTTCATTTCACACGATGCAGCAGGAGATCCTCCGCAGGATTCAGGTGAGCGGCGGAGCAGCAGACAGATGTAAAACATTAACTCTGCTGCGGAGTTCACGGGATTTTGTTTCAGCTCGTCGACATCTGTTGTTTTCTACGCGAGTGACGAGACTTTCTTTGGTATAAAGTCCGGAGAAACTCCCGAGGCCCTCACTGGGATAATTGCGTTTGCACATGAACCTCCTGCAGAGGATTTGCGGAGGATCTTCAGAGCCTGTCTGAGAGCAGCTACACTCGAGAGTCGGATGTCTCACACCGGCTCAGCTGGACTTTCTCCGGACTTTAAACGAGGAGACTGGTCGGAGAAGGTCCGCAGAACTTCCTGGAGGCTCTCTCCGGGACTGAGCCCGAAGGAAAGCTGCTGTGACACCCTTCGTCTTCAGGCGCAGCCGCCGGGGATCGAACGGAGACGCAGTTTAATTGTGGTCACAACGTTTTCACACGAACACATGCGCGATGACGATGACGCTCTGTTGCCAAGGAAACTGGAGTTGCCCTGGCGGCGGACGGCGGTATTACAACAACAGTTAGCTCGTGATACGTACAATCCGGTAGGAGTCGGAGAGGTGTCGGTACCGGGACAGAAACACGGTGATCCTCTCCGCCAGCTGTCTCTGCTGATCTGGGGACAGACTCGGTGTGAACGTCCCCGCATCTCGTGCTGCCGACGCCTCAGCTGACATGAGGACGCTAAAGAGACGAGCTAACTTTCAGACGAGGTGCCGCTCAAACATGTCGCGTGTTTTCAGCTGTTAGCCACCGATGCTAACGGTAACTTCCGCGTGTCCAGTGGCGAGGCGTTCAGGTGCATCCCTTCTTCTTCGGTTAGCAAACCAGCCTGTAAAGTGCATTACCGCCACCGTGTGGAGTGTGGAGGGTGGGGCGGTAGACCAAACTTAACAAACTCAATTACATTATTTTCTTTAGTCCTGTTTCTCTTATTGAATATTGTTGAATATTCTATATTTACAACACGGTCTATTTTTGTGAAGTGTGTGTTTGGCTTTTTTAGAAGTGGTACAGTGTGTGTGTGTGTGTGTGTGTTGCTTTGATAGTTCAATAAACTTGTTCAAAATGAATTAAACGAAGCGATAAATGACGACTCTTACTTTATACATTTACATTATATATTATTAAACTGAATGCTGCGTTGGTTTTGACCCACTGTCTCGACTGTCCGCGAAGGCAGCGTGTAACCCGGAAGTGAAGGGTTAGAGTAGCGGAAGTGAGTGGACGGCGGCGGCGGCGGGTCCGAGTCCGGATTTAACTTCACGCTGTCGGTGTCAAACGTTTCATCGGTGACGGTTTGTCGCGAGTCAACGTGTCCGAGTTCGTGACGCCGCCGAGTTTCACGGTAACGGAATCACATCCAGCCGCCGAGAACCCGCCAGGTAGCACGAGCGAGCTAACGCTAACGCCCGTCAGCTAACGTACGAAACTAACGTACGTAACTGCCGTACGTATACTACAGCTATCGTATGTTACGGGAGGATTTTATCGTACAAATACTCACACGCTCATTCTAAAAAAATGTGTTTTACGACAGATGCACAAAGTTTATTATCAAGAAAGAATCTGAAAAATAGTTTTGTTTTTTTGTAAACACTAAAAATAAACACTAGCTCGAGGCTCCGCCTCCTCACACGTTGGAATCTGGTTTGTTTTGCAGGATGATTCATTTAAACCGTTTTCAGCAGCGTCACCGAGAGACACACAACCGTTGAGAAGCAGATGCTCGGTTTGTGTTGAGGTGTGATGTCGGACCCAACCGTGAACATGTGCCTCTCCGGTGACCCTGCACAGAAGAGAGCAAGAAACCGAAAGTGGAAAAACAAGCGGTTTAATAAACTCGTGCCACACTCGGGGCAGCAGGGATACGTGGAAGGTGAACAGAGGGACCAGCACCCCCGTGGGCCCAGACACGACCAGACCCCACTCCACAATGGACTGTGCTCAGGGCCTCCGTCACCTGCCACTTCCACACAAAGCACAAGTTTACCTCATCCAGGCAACACTTCACACCGCCGGCCTTCCTCCACTCTGCCTGTGAACAGCCTCGGAGGCCACGAGAAGCCAAAGGAACCCGTGAGCTTAAAATCAGCAGCCGCCAACCCCGGCCCCTCAGGATCGAGCAGCCCTAAACCCGCCGCCACGTCCACAGCGATCCCCACCAAATTCCTCGCTATGGACTGTGAGATGGTGGGTGCGGGACCTAAAGGGCACATCAGCCAGCTTGCACGCTGCAGTATAGTGTCCTATGACGGAGATGTCGTCTACGATAAGTTCATCAACCCCTCCATGCCCGTGACTGACTACCGCACCCGATGGAGTGGAATCCGGCACAGGGATCTCATCAAGGCCACACCGTACTCGGAGGCCCGGAAGGAGGTGAGAAAACCTGAGAATGTCTCATACGTACCTGAAATGACCACCACATGCAGACCCTCCCACAGAATGGCGGTACTGGTAGTGAACAGGAAACAGATCTGTCAGTGTAACTGAACTGTCTGAGCCTGACGGGTGAGTGAGTGAGCGTCTTCTCTGTTGGCAGATACTGAGGCTGCTGATGGGGAAGGTTGTGATCGGCCACGCCATCCACAATGACTTCAAGGTGCTTGGTTACTCCCACCCCGCTGCCTTGACCAGAGACACGTCGCGGATCCCACTGCTCAACTTGAAGGCCGGTTTTTCTGCGCATGAGTGTGCGTCACTGAAGAGACTCACCAAGGCCATTTTCAACCGTGACATCCAGGTACGATGTTGGTCTGAGATAGTGTTGTCAAACTATGAACACGCTTCACGGCCCTGTTGAGTGTTAACATCTGTGCCGAGAGATCTGATCACTCTCACTACTTTCAACTTGTCTTAGCGGTTAGCATCAGCACTTTAACCTTTAGCCTTTAACCTGAGAGCTCCTGGAAAGAACCTGTTAGATATTCCTTGATCAAGACTGAAGGCCAAAGGCGATTCTGCCCAAACCTCTGGAATAGTTTGAGACTTAAATCGTTAAATAATAATCTTTCAAACTTACTTTTACTGATTTATTTTTTACTGTTATTTATCTTTATTTTTATGACTTTTGAATAATGTTGTATTATATCATTTGGTGTCTTTGTTTTTAAACTACATTATGTTAATTTACTTCGTCTTTATGTTTGTGTCTAAGTGAAGCACTTCGTAACCGTTGTCTGCTGTTTCAATAAAGTTAGTATTATTGTCAGAAGTCATTGTAATTGTGAGACTCTGTTATCGCTGATCTGCAGCTGTCGTCAGTGATGCTGACCTCATCCTCTCTTGTGTCCTCAGACTGGGAAGAAGGGTCACTCGTCCGTGGAGGATGCAAAAGCCACAATGGAGCTTTACAAAGTGGTGGAGGAGGAGTGGGAGAGGAGGCTCGCCTCCAAGCCGCAGGGCAGATAATGCCCGGTCTGCGCAGAAGCTGTGGACATTGAACTGAATTTGATTGAACTTTGAGGTGCGGCAGGTATGTGATCTGAACTCACTGCAGCTTTGCAGGATCAACCCCCTTTAAGTGTCCTGTCAACAAGCGAATGAAGAATCCAGGAAGAGTGAAATGGAGAAGAAGAACATGAACAACTGTTGAGTCGCACACTTTGCAGAGACCTTCGGTTCAACAGAAAGATTCTTTCTCAGGTTTCTGTGTGTTAAGATGGTGCATCTGCCACTAGGGGGCAGTCATGTATTCATCCCAGCAACAAACGTACATTATTGTAACAGCATCTGTGATGGCAAACACCAAAAAACAGATTTCAACCAGAGCAGCAGCTTCTCCTGGACGAGGTCATGCTCCTCTTCTTTTTTTACCGTTCCAGCACTGATGGAAAAAAAAAACATTTTCAAGTCTGACCTCAACTGCTACTAACGGAGCTCCACCACGAGTCCCTCATTAGTGCAGATTTCTATGGTTTTTAATTGTCTTTTAATTCAAATCAAAGACACAGTCCTGCTCAGTATTCAGCTTTGAGGAACATGCAGTGATGTTCTTTTGGGCCATAGCCCATTTTGAAATACTGAGGTCCCGAGTGCAGCTTCTGTTGCCGTTACATTTCATCTTTTCCAGACACATTTTCAAAAGTGACTAAATATCTTGTTTTTATATTCAAAGACCTGTAAAGCTCCTACAGAGGTTTTAGTGATGCATAGTAGATCATTCTATAAGCTCAGAAACACCTCAGGTTCTGGTGCATACAAGCAGGAGGTTCTAAATCGAAATGAATGTAGTCACTGATCATTGTCTTGGCTAATGCATTGTACAGGTAACATATTGTTAATCCCCCAAAATAAAGAGGATGTGACCTCAGTGGTGCTACAGACACTTCTCCTTTCACAGGCTGCCGTTTAAAAACTCCTCATCATGGCTGAAAACAAATGGAGTCCTTGTTTACCTGAGTTCTCGATGATCGCTCACATTCAGTCAGCTGATTCTGGAACTGTTTACATGGAGCGAGATGAGTTCAGGCGTTCAGCTCAGTGCTATTTTAAATTAATTACAGTCATTGCTGTACACACACACACACACAGGACCGTCACTGGACTGTGAGTTTGACTTTAGAGGAAATCTCATCTAATGTTAATCAAGTTATTACAACTGGAAGCTTTTCAAAGTTTTATCCAAAACCAACTACTTCTGCTTTGTGTTTTCTTTTTGTCACGTCAGTCAGACGAGACTCAACACAGTCGTCAGACTATTGAACCGAAAGGTGGTTCTCATTTTGTCAACTTCATTTATACGGAGGAATTAACCCAGGGCTGTTGCATTGAGCTGATTTTAGACAGAGGCGAGAACATCTGAGTCAGAGTCTCTGGACGTGTTCTGGATCTTCTCCTGCAGCTTCTAGTAAAACATCTGGAACCTTCTCAGTGAGCGAGTGGGCGTGTCTCTGAGGTTTCTAACACGTGACGGACGTGAAACTGAAGAACAAAAATGTCTCAGGATGAAGAAGAGGAGCCGTACACATAGAAGACGGAGACGTCAACTTAGAAAGACGAGGAGGTTCCAGATGTTTTGGTGATGAGGGCCGACGCCATGTGGACGAGCTGTAAACACTGATCTTTACACAGCAGAGTTTAGACGTCATGCCCCGCCTCCTGCTGCTCTACAGGCTCCGCCCCTCGCCTGAATGTTCACAGGACAATTCCCAGAGTTCATGGAAACAGCTTCAGAGCAAAGTCACATTTAGTTAAACTTCGTGAACTTTGTTTCACGATATTCGCTTTGCAATCGTGTGTGTGTGACCGCGCCCCCAGTCTGTATTCATGTGTCCATTCTGTGTGTGTGTCACGATACTGTGATGTCACCAGACACCATCCAGGATTCAGGCTTAAAGTTTTTTCTTCTTTCTTGTTTGTTTTAAAAGTTGACTTTTGATATTCATCTTACCCAAATTAAAAATGACGTCTTGATCCTGCTCAACATCTCTTCCTGTTCCGTTGTTATTCTCAACGCTGGTGCAGCGTCCGTTGTTTGCCTGGCCGCTGGTAATGCTAGAGGCGGGTGTTGTTCACCGATACTGCAGCCAGACACCAGGGGAGCCTCACTGTCATCCATCTTTATTCACAGTCTATGGTTTACAGATTAGAGCGCATCTGTGCTCACTTGGTCCGTGTTTGGAGCTCAACCGTTTCCTAGGACGGAACAAGTGAGCGATGCCCTGGAGTGAAGACAGCTCCTGTGTCTGTGGTTTGTCTGTTGACCAAACACGCAGCTGGAAACCACAGTATCACCACTGAGGTGCCAAAGCATCCGAGTGTCTCAGTGTAAGCAGCTGGCACAGGCGGCGGGGAAATCTTCCCAAACTGGAAATTCTTGAGCTGTCGGCTCCGCAGTGTTTTCAGGTTGCTGCTCAAAGAAAGGATGAAAAAAAACAACACAACTTCCCGACAAGGCTTTTAGTGTCTGTTCACACCTTGACAGATGCACAGTCGTCATATTCACCTACTCTGGAGGCTGGTTATTGCAAAGCAACATGTGATTTGATCAATTCCCTAATCTAGATTATCCCAAACTATTAATCCCTCCTTAATCTCCTTGTGCATTGCCACTAGTGTAAAGAATTAGATTTTACTCCCTGTCATTAGCTCCGTAAGTGAAAAGCTTGAGCTTAAAAACCAAGAGGAGGCTTTGGATTTTGATCTGTGTTGTGCTTAATCAGCTATAAACAAGATGTTCCAATTCATATCTGAAGTTAAAAACCAGAGAATCTTTTCTCATGGATTCTTTTTCTAATTCAGACTTTTCTCAATAATAATTCATTTTTAATTTGAATATTATCTCAACATTTGAAATGAAAGAAGATTAAGTGCTCACCTGCTGTATTAATACGGCCTTGAAAAACTTGAAAGTGAATTTTATTACCCCCTGGTTCAAGTCATTGGCAGCTACACACACACACACACACACACACACACATGTATAAGTCATAGCCCAGCATTAGCCACATGTGCATTATTAGTTTTTTATTTCACGCTGCTAAGCCATCAGGAATTTGTCCATTTTGCAGATTACTTTTAAACCTGACACGTGCAGGACATACACTGAGCACAATGTGGATGCAGGGTCAGCGTTGGTGCTGGCGAACGAGGTCTTAAACTGTCGTAGATGAAAGCTGCCCCAGAGGAAAGAGACGTCTGTGGAGTAAAATCAATGAGAAACACTTAACAAATGTAAAATGAGATTAAACATTGTGTTATTTTTATCACAGCTCTGATAAACCCACGGTTCTCTCACCTGCTCATCAACAAACAGACACGTGAAGAGGTTTCATGATGCCCTCCACCACGAGTCGTTTCCGCTCCTGTCTGTCCGCTTGTCAACAGGAGGAAGATGAAACTTGGTGGAAGGAGGAGACGAGAGAGAACCCATTTCATTTTTCCTCAAAGAGGCTGATGCAGGAATTAGTTTGATCCCTTTCTTGAAAGCAACATTAAGGACACGTCTCCATCCAGAAAGTTCATTTGAAGACTAGACTGCAACTCGACTGTCACATATCGAAGGCTCCTTCAAATCCAGCCGACAAACACGTCCTCTGCTTCCCATCGTTCAGAGAAAAGACTTCAGACGAAGAGGACAGGAGACATCTGATGCTTCAGAACTGGGACTGAGCTCATCTGAACAGCCAACGTTACACATGTTAGAACCCTGAGTGTGTCCAGGCAGCAGGTCACTGACATGAGCAACAGCAACTGTGTCGTCCCACTGGACTGAAACACAACTGAACGCTGGATATTACCCATGATCCTCTGCTTCCTGACCCAGCAGCTGCTGAACATTGGAGATAAACTCTGGTTGTTAATAACTTGTCAGTGTTTTGAACTGATCTCAGTTCAGCTTCACTCTTCAACTGGAGCTGATGGTGACGCTCAGACTCTCACCCACTCAGCAGAGTGACAGAACAGACGCTCGGGGAGTGAAGGAGGAAACGTTCTCCACCGTCACACTGAAGAACTCTGGGTTCACTTCTACCTGTGAGAATCCCACGTCTCTACGTGATCTCCTCCTTCAGGGAACGTCTTCGAGTCTGAAACCGTGCAGTTGGAGTCACGGATGAACTGAACTGACGTTGATGCTCAAGGTCACCGTGACCTCACCACATCTGGTGGTGTTGTGACGCAACATCTGGACGAACATTCACTCAGATGAAGTGATACCAGGGAGACAGCGGACGATTCTAATGCTGCTGCTGCTGCATTTGTTGAAATAAACTTGTTTTTAAAGGTTTGAAGGTAATTTTCCTTTTATAAGAATGAAACAAAAGTTCTTTCGTTTGAATAAATGATTTGTTAACTTGGAGCTGACGTGGTGAGTCTGTGTCAGACACAGAGTTTGAGTTCGTACAGTTTCACTCTGAATCTATTGAACAGCTTCAGTAACATCTGCACATGATAACAACTCTGATAACAACTCTGATAACAACTCTGATAACAACTCTGATAAGTTTTACTAAACAAACACAATACTCAAATATTACTGTCACAATAACTGTACTGTAAAAATATTATTAGGAGGAGGAGGTGCTGGTCTGTGTCCATCATCATCATCATCATCATCAGGAGGAGGAGGAGGAGGTGCTGGTCTGCGTCCATCATCATCATCATCAGGAGAGGAGGAGGTGCTGGCCTGCGTCCTTCATCATCATCATCAGGAGAGGAGGAGGAGGTGCTGATCTGCGTCCTTCATCATCATCAGGAGGAGGAGGAGGTGCTGATCTGCGTCCATCATCATCATCATCAGGAGGAGGAGGAGGTGCTGATCTGCGTCCTTCATCATCATCATCATCAGGAGAGGGAGGAGGAAGAGGATCTCTTCACCTCCTCTCGTCCTGGTCGCGGGTCTCTGCTTCTCTCGGGTCAGTGTGTTTTCATCACAGCGGCAGAGAGCGGCTCCTGGAGGACAGGACCCCGGCTCCGGACCCGGACGACCAGGACGCAAGACGCAGGACCAGGACCAGGACCGGACCAGGATCAGGATCAGGATCAGGACCGGACCAGGACCAGGATCAGGACCGGACCAGGATCAGGACCTGATCGGACTCCGGAGCGACAACTCGACAGAACCGAGAGTTGAGCCTGACGAAGACGAAGATGAAGATGAAGTAAGTCACATGAGGAAATATCGCTGTGATTCACTCTGAGCATCGATCCTTTGACTCCACTTTATCAGACACCGTGGACTTGTCCAGGATGTCCTCGTGTCTCTCAAGACAAGTCAAGACACAAGAAAAGACGAAATATCAAGTTTATAAAAAGAACAAATCAAGAACCAGAAAATAAAAAAGTTTCATGACACAGAACTGTAGTTAACAAAACAGAGACGAGATGTAGTGAGAGTACTGTTGGACATGAATAATACTGTTGGACATGAATATTACTGTTGGACATGAATATTACTGTTGGACATGAATATTAGTATTGGACATGAATAATATTGGACATGAATAGTATTGGACATGAATAGTTATATTGGACATGAATAGTATTGGACATGAATAGTAGAATTGGACATGAATAGTAGTATTGGACATGAATAATATTGGACATGAATAGTATTGG